CAGAGAGATGCAAATTAAAACCACAATGAGATATTACCTCACTCCTGTCAGAATGGCTGCCATCAATGAATCAACAAACAACAAGTGCTGGCAAGAATGCAGAGAAAAGGGAACCCTTGTGCACTGTTGGTGGGAATGCAGACTGGTGCAGCCACTGTGGAAAACAGTTTAGAGATTCCTCAAAAAATTAAAAATGGAACTGCCTTATAACTCAGCAATTCCACTTCGGGGTATGTATCCAAAGAAACCCAAGACACTAATTCAAAAGAATATATGCAAGCCTACGTTCATTGCAACATTATTTATAATAGCCAAGATATGGAAGCAACCCAAGTGCCCATTAATAGATGAGTGGATAAAAAAACCTGTGGTACATAGCAACACTATTTACAATTACTAGGATCTGGAAGCAGCCCAAGTGTCCATCAATATATGAGTGGATAAAAAAACTGTGGTTCATATACACAATGGAACACTATGCAGCTGTAAGAAAGAAAGATCTCTTATCCTTTGAGATGACATGGAGGGATCTGGAGAGTATTATGCTAAGCGAAATAAGCCCCTCAGAGAAAGACAAATACCACATGATCTCACTAATTTGTGGAATATAATGAAAAAAATAAGCTGATGAACAAAATAGACCCAGAGACATAGAAAGGAGTACAGTTCAGACTGAGAAACCTCAGAAGAAGGATCGGGGATGAGAGATGAGATAAACCAAAGAACATATTTGTATGTATGCATAACCAATGGGTATGGACAATAAAGCCTGGATGAGGGGGCGGGATCAGGAGGAGGGTGTGTGTGTGGGGGAGAAGTTACATCTGTAACAAAAATTAATTAATAAAAGAAAAAATAAGACAAGGGGAAAAATCTGTGGTACATATATATAATAAGAGTATTACTCAACCATATAAAATAATAAAATCTTATTGTTTGCAACAGTATGAATGGACCTTGAAGGTATTATGCTAAGTGAAATAAGTCAGAGAAAGGCAAATACCATATAATTTCACTCATATGTGGAATCTAAAGAACAAAATAAATGAATAAACAAAATTGAAACAGACTCATAGATACAGAGAACATTTTGATGGCTGCCAGAGGTGAGGGGGTGTTGAAGGACTGAGAGAAAAAGGTGAAGGGATTAAGTACAAACTGGTAGTTACAGAATAGTCACAGGGATGTAAAGTACAGCATAGGGAACGTAGTCAATAATATTGTAATAAATATGTGTGGTGTCAGGTAGGTACTGGAAATATCGAAGGGATCGTTTTGTAAGGTTTATGATTATCTAACCACTATGCTGTACACCTGAAACTAATATAATATTGAATGTCAACTGTAACTGAAAAATAAAAATTTAAAAATCTATATTTTAGCCCAGGCCAGTGATTCAGCTGGCTGAAGCATCATCCCGTATATCAAAATGCTGTGCATTCGATTCCCAGTCAGGGTACATACCTAGGTTGTGGGTTTGATCCCCAGTCAGGGTGCGTGCAGGAGGCAACCAAATGATGTTTCTCTCTCACGTTAATCTCTCTCTCTCTCCCTTCCTCTCTTCCTCTCTCTAAAAATCAATAAACAACGACTTCTGGTCAAGATGGTAGCGTAGTTAAACGTGGTATTGCCTCCTTCCACAACCACATCAAAATTACAACTAAACTACAGAACAACCATCATTCAAAACCACCCGAAATCAAGCTGAATAGAAGTCCTACAACTACGAAATTAAAGAAGCAGCCACATGAGACTGGTAGGAGGGGCGGATGGGCTGGTCCCATACACACGTGTGGTGGATAAAAATCAGGAGGACACCTCAGCTGGAAAGGTCCTCCCTGAAAAGTAAGGGGTCCCTGTCCCACACCAGATGCCCAGCTCAGGGTTCCAGTGCCAGGAAGAGAAGTCCCCATAACTTCTGGCTGGAAAAACCAGCAGGAACTGAGGCTGAGGGAGGCTGAGGTTGCTGAAGCCCCAGGCAGCTCCTCTTAAAGGGCCTGCTCACGGACTTACACGGACCAGCTCCTTCTGGGCTCCAGCATTGGAGAGGCAGCTTGAAGATATATATAAAGGCACAAGAGATACAGGGGGAAGAACTGAGTTGTTTGGCATTGGGGCGAGGGCTGAAGAGACAGCTTTCTCCTGGACAGACGTGCTGTCAGAGGCCTTTGTTCCTTTGATGAGCCCTTCCCCCACAGGGCAGGCAGATGGCCACCATATCTGGGATTCTAGCAATCTGGCTCATACTGTTTGACCCACCCTGGTGATTCCCTGAGGCCCTGCACCACCCAACTTTCAGGCCCACCCAAGCTGTTACTAGTTGCTTTATCATAGGACAGGCTTGTCTTGGATCCTGCTTCAGAGTTTCCTAAATTCTCTCAAACAAGTAGCATCTGGTCTCAGCAAGCCCCAAACCTCTCATTAAGTGGCCCTAGGCCTGGCAGTAGAAGCAGCCAGCCTTGGTTCACAACTTGGCTTTGCCTGGGCACCTCCAAGACCAGCACAAGAAGCAGTCATCTGCAGACCACTTTGTAGTTTATGGCTGGTGGCCCTGGGTAGAACACAGGCAGTGGTTGACCTTGCCCCAGAGCCAGCACACCCAGTGGACAGCTTCAGACCACATCGAAGCACCACCTCCATAAGTGACACTCAAGGAATGGACTCAGTGGGTACCAGAGCCTTGCTGAAATGAGTCTTGCTCTGTGTGGTGGGCCCCTGCACAGCTGATCATCCAAGCAATCAAGACTCAATTACAACAGAAGGGTGTAAGGTCCACACGAGGGGTGCACCTCAAGAGCCCAGCTGGGAGACCAGGGAGGCTGTGCCACTGGACCCTACAGGATACCTACTACAATAGGCCATCCTAGGAAGCCCAAGAGACATAGCAACTCTACCTAATGCATAGAAACAAACACAGGGAGGCAGCCAAAATGAAGAGACAAAGAAACATGTCCCAAATGAAAGAACAGAACAAAACTCCAGGGAAAGAACTAAACAAAATGGAGATAAGCAATCTAAGAAATGCAGAATTCAGAATACTGCTTATAAGGATGCTCGATGAACTTGGTGAGAACTTCAGTGAACTTAGTGAAGGTCTCAAGAGCGTAAAGAAAGACCAGTCAGAAATGAAGGAGGCACTAACTGAAATAAAGAATAATTTACACAGATTCAGTAGTAGAGTAGGCAAAGCCAAGAAGCAAACCATCAATTTGGAATATAAAAAAGCAAAAAACACCCAATCAGAACAGCAAAAAGAAAAAAGAATCCAAAAAAATGCGGATACTGTAAGGAGCCTCTGGGACAACTTCAAGCATACCAACATTTGCATCATGGAGGTGCCAGAAGGAAAAGAGAACAAGAAATTGAAAACCTATTTGAAAAAATGACAGAAAACTTCCCTAACTTGGTGAAAGAAACAGACATACAAGTCCAGGAAGCACAGAGAGTCCCAAACAAGATGAACCCAAAGAGGCCCACACCAAGACACATCATCATCAAAATGCAAAAGGTTCAAGACAAAGAGAGAATCTTAAAAGCAGCAAGAGAAAAGCAGTTAGTTACCTACAAGGGAGTTCCCATTAGGCTGTCAGCTGATTTCTCAAAAGAAACTTTGCAGGCCAGAAGGGAGTGGCAAGAAATATTCAGAGTGATGAAAAGCAAGAACCTACAACCAAGATTACTCTGTCCTGCAAAGCCGTCATTTAAAATCACTGATCATATAAAGAGTTTCCCAGTCAAGAAAAAGCTAAAGGAGTTCATCACCACCAAACTGTTATCATATGAAATGTTGAACAGTTCTCTTGAAGAAAAAGATAAAAAATATGAACAAACAAAATGGCAATAAATACATATCTATCAACAATTGAATCTACAAACAAAATGAACAGACAGAACAGAAGCACTCTCATAGATACAGAGAACATTGTGTTGGTTGCCAGATGGGAGAGGAGTTGGGGGAATGGGTGAAAAAGGTGAAGGGATTAAGAAGTACAAATTGGTTGTTAGACTGACAAACCTCAGAGGGAAGGGGGTTGGGGGGTAGGAAGAGATGAACCAAAGAACTTATATGTATATATGCATAACCAATGGACACAGACAACAGTGTGGGGAAAGGCAGGAGTCAATAGGAGAAAAAAGCTAAACATCTGTAATATATTCAATAATAAAGATAAGTTTAAAAAAATATTTTAAGCCCTGGCTGGTTTGGCTCAGCGGTTGGAGCGTTGGCCTGCAGTACAGAGAGACCCGGGTTCGGTTCCCGCTAAGGGCACGTACCTCGGTTGCAGTTTGTCCCCGGCCCTGGTTGGTCGTGCGGGTGGCAGCCACTCGATGTGTCCCTTCACGTCGATGTTTCGCTCTCTCTCTTCCTCTCTCTCCCTCCCCCTCTATCTGAACAAAAAATGGAAAAATGTCCTCGGGTGAGGATAAAAAAAAATATATATATATATATATTTTTTAAAAATTAAGTGGGGAAAAATTGTTTTAAAATAAAAATCAATGAACACTTCCTCAGGTGAGAATTTAAAAAAAAATCTATATTTTATATCAAAAGCAAAATAAATAAATAAAAATAAAATCTCTCATGTGCTGTTTTAAATCTTCTGGTGGGTTGGCCAGAGGTTTTTAGTTAAAGCTAAATCCTGTTGTTATCTGTAGTTTTCCCAAGTATAAACGAAAAATCTCTTGCCTGGCCAGGTGGCTCAGTGGTTGAGCATCAACCCCTGCACCAAGAGGTCACCTATTTGATTCCTGGTCAGGGCACATGCCCAGGTTGTGGGCCAAATCCCCAGTGGGGGACATGCAGGAGGCGGCCAATCGACGTTCTCTCATCAATGTTTCTAGCTCTCTCTCCCTCTCCCTTCCTCTCTAAAATCAATAAAGAAAAAAGTTGAAAAATAAAATAAGTGAAGACTCTCGTGGGGTCCACCCTACGGCCCCCCTGTCTGGCTGTGGAGAAGACCCTGGCCCTTCATGGTTATGATGCAGGAAGGTGGTCTTACCGTTACATCTTGAATAGTTAGGAGGATCCTTGCTTCGTCCATACTGTTTGGAGGGTCAGGATGTCCACGTGCGTTCTGAAGGGAGAAGTTAACGTCACAGGGCGTGGTGCTGGTGGGAAATCTGGAGTCCTAGGGACAAGCAGAGAGAACGGAGTATGGTGAAAGCAACTTATGTCCCCAAAGACATGCTGGGCCCTCAGTCTCTTGGCCTCCATGACTCCCATCTCTCTCCTCACTGAGCAGTTCTCCGCTCTGGCTCCCACAGCTGATCTGATCAAATCATCCCTACTTGACCAGCACCACTGCAGGCCCAAGCTAGCAAGTGGACCAGGACTCAGACTCGGGCTACCAGCTCCCAAAACACTGCCCTGAGCTGGTGAGGACCAGTGCAGAAAGATGGCCACAAGTGTTGAGTGAAAAAGGTGGGACTGTCAAGTGGTATGAATGGTATAATCCCATTTATGGGAGAATAACAATAAAAGGGGAAAAGGGCACTCACTCAAAGGTTATCTATATGGTAATCGGAAACCCAAGTACCCAAGCCATGGACCTGACCTAAAAATGATCCCTCATCTTTTCGAGTCTCACCATTGAAATTAGTGAGCACTGACGGCATTTGCCCAGGAGCCCTGCTGGGGACAAGGTGGGCACACTGCTTCACGGGGGATGCTTGGCCAATGATGGCACAACTGCCTAAATCCACCTAGTTACCAACTGGTGGTCGAGCCGTCATGGGCCGTGGCAGTCCACACGTCAAGGGCCACGGCAGACCTCCTGGTGGCACACTGGTGTGACAGGTCTTTAAGTTGTTTACATGTATCAGCAAGTAACGACGACTTTAAAACCCTAAATTATAATTGTGACAAATATCCCATTCACTCAGTCCAGGATCCACACAATGGAGAAACTCAAAGAAGGCATTCCAGAAGGCTTCTATCACCTGCCATGCTCTCAGGAGCGATAACTAATCTTGGGAAACATCACTCACTGGGAATGGGCCAGGACCAGAGCACTCCAGATCACAATCTCTTGGCTATAATGATATGTGCAATTTTAATCTAGATGGCTGCATACTTAGCTATTCACAGTAATGATCTCTGGGGCAGTGAGGTCATGAAAAAAACTTATTTTCTTTGTATCCTTTGAATTTTTTACATTGATCAGGCATTATCAGAAAAAGGTATCTCATAACAGAAAAGATGTACATTGTTTCATTCCTGATACTTAAGTAGAACTTCACCATGCACTGCAACCCCTGGCCGAGGAGAGCCACCCTGCCTAAGCTGGCACTCTGGCCAGCCCTCCGGAAGAGGTGCCCTCCTTTCACTGGAGTTGCTAAACTGCAAAAACAAAAACAAAAACAAAACAAAACGAAAAGACCCTATGTTGGCTTTCCTCCCAACCCACAGTAGAAACCCCCATCCTTACCACAGCTCTCCAAGCCTGTGTGGTGGGAGCCTTGGCTACTTCTCCGCCTCACCTGGCCTTCCTCGCCCCTCCATCACTCAGCTCCTGCCACACGGGCCTCCCCCTCGGGGCCTCCACACCTGCTGCTCCCTGCGCCTGAAATGCTCTTCTCTAAATGGCTCACACCCTGGCTTCTTTCAGGCCTCTGCCACATGTGAGCTCAAGGCCACGCCCCTGCCCAGCTCTCTCCAGCCCTGGCTCCACTCCGCTTCTCTGACATGGTACTCCTCTGGCATGGTACCTACTTGTTGACTGTGTTTTAGCCTCAGTGAGAACGGTGCCCGGCACCGGTGGTGAGGACTGTGGCACGCTGGAGCGCACACCTGTCTAAAGGGACGGCTGCTCCTCAGCTCAGTCATTGCTGTGGCATAAGAATGCGGTTCCCAAATCTTCCGATTTGTTCAACAGAAGCCCCAACTTCAGACTTGGACATGGAATTTCCCAATTCTTAAATGTCAGCTAGTAATTCACATTTTTTGAAAGCAAGTCAACAAGGTGGCGGCCCACAGAACATATCTGCAGCACACCGGCTGTGAACTCAGAGCCGCCCAGAAATTGAAGTTCACTGAGGATATGACTGAAGGTGAAAGGCTGGTGCGTGTCAACAGTGAAGGTCAGATGGAAAGTACCCCCGCAGACATGCATTGCCTTTTGCTCCATTTCGGGCTGCACTTGCAAAGTGTGAGGCGGCTGAGTGTATTTAGCCACGTGCTTTTTTTTTTCTTTCCCTTTTCAGATCGCATCTCTTATGGCTTCTGCCTTTGCCGAAAACCAGAGCTGCCATTTCACTCTCACGTACCAGGAAAATAACTCCGTGGGGAAACTGACTATGAAGCCTTACGGAATGCCCCTCAAGATGGGGAGAAAAAGGAAAGAAATACAATCAAGCACTCACAGAGCAGAAAATTCCGTGCCGGCGGAGCAGGGCACTGTCGATTCCGAGCACGCGCACACAGGAATGCTAATGGGGCTTAATAGCTTGTGAGGGACAGGCTGCCGTGTTTCGGGGAGCTTGGGAGCTTGCAAAGGAAGGAATACATGTTCAAGTAACAGGAGGTACCAAATGGCCAAAGGAGAAGAAGGAACTACCATGCCTCTTGCTTCAAGGGAATGTCCACATTCTGTGACATGGGCTGGGGCTGGGGCTGTACGGACTGAAGTTGGCTATCGGCCAGGCTCCCAGACCAAGAGAAACTGATGGCTATTTGCACAGACTGATCCTGAGCACGGATTGTCTGTTTGATTCAAAAGCAAATGAGTGAGTGTCTGTGTGTGTGCATGTGTGCTGTGTGGGAGGTAGGTGTTAAGGGCAGTCAAGTCCACAATTTTGCTTACTGTAAAATCCCATTTGTATGGAAGGGGTAGGGAAACAAGGTCATTGGGTCATGCCATAGAAAAGGACTCTGTTTTGTTTTTTCCAGGAAGGAAGGAATAAATAACAGAAAGAGCCCTGACAGCTGAGCCCTGCAGCACTGAGCCGAGGCCACTCCTACCTGTGGGGGACCCCCAGAAGCAGCCTTTGCATTGACAATCACATCCTCACATGGCTCAAAATCTTCAGAATAGTCCAGAGGAGGTTCGATGTGGAGCCGCGGGCCAGCTTCTGTTCTGATCTGCACAGATTTCTACACAAAAATACAGACCATTTCAGACACAGTAGAACAAACACCTGGACCCCTTGGGGGGCAAGCACGTTGGGGGCCGACGGCGGAGTGTCTGCACAGCCACAGCCGTGCCGTCCTGCATGGGGTCCCGCAGGCCGGCCCGACGGCTCAAGCCACCTCTGCTCAAGTCCGTACTAGTTCCTACTGCCCAAAGTGGGTTCTTCAGTAGAATATTTTAGTAACTTTTTGGCTTGAAATAACTTACCTGTAGAATTTTAGCAGGTGTTAAACTTCTCAAATAGCTTCATGACTGAATATCTAGGAAACCCTGGGGATTTTTCTTCAAGACTTCTCTGGGCCTTGAGTATGTCCCCTTCCCCGACCCGCCACAAACACCTGTGGATATCCTAAGATAAACACAGCATGCAACATTTCTTGCACCTTTGGGCCATGGAAACTGTGTGTGTGGTGGGGCCTCTCTTCCTCCCAGCATTCCTTGGACCAACCTTTGGGAAGCTCACTCCTTGGCCTGGTGTGGCAGCTGCTGGCCAGCCCCCACTGTCCATCTCCCTTCCTTGCCTGCAGCTGGGGAACCATGTGATCAATTCTGGCCAATGCAGGGGTGTGTACATCTCTGAGGCTGTGACCCTAAAGGAAAGGGGACAGCCGTCCCTCGCCCAGCTGGAGCATGGAGGTGGAGGTGAATACTGTGAAGAGGTGACTTCGGAGGATGGAGCAACAGAAGAGCTAGTGCCTGTTCCTCCGTGACCTCCCGGAGCAGGGCGACTGCCCCCACTGAACTATGCTGTCAGGGAGACATCAACTGGCCACTGATCAGGCCACTGTTACTTGGGCCTCCCTGTTTCAGCAGCCAAACCGGTACCCTAAGCCCCGCCCCTGGCACACAAAGCTCTCTGCAGTCGGCCCCAGTCGATCATTCCTACGTTCATTCCCACACATAGAGTCACAGCCCTAACAACTGGGCCAAACAGAACTGCTCTCTGTCCCTGCTCAGTCAGGCCACTCTGCCCCCGCAGCCAGCTCCTGCCGGGACGGGAAGGGACCTCAGGCAGCCAGCGAGCAGCCAGTCTCCCAGATCCCCTCCGTGCAGCCGAGCCCCAGAGAAGCTGCGGAGGGAGGCACGCTGCCTACCCGACAGCTACCCACTGCCCCCACCCTTACTAACTAACCCACACCCACTAAGGCGGCACCAACGACACCTTTGTCACAGAGCTGCGAGGACGACTCACTTCTTTTTTTTTTTTATCCTCACCCAAGGACATTTTTCCATTTTTTGTTCAGATAGAGTGGGAGGGAGAGAGAGAGAGAGAGAGAAACATGGACGTGAAAGGGACACATCGAGTGGTTGCCACCGCACGACCAACCAGGGCCGGGGACAAACTGCAAGCGAGGTACGTGCCCTTAGTGGGAACCGAACCCGGGTCTCTCTGGACCGCAGGTCGATGCTCTACTGCTGAGCCAAACCGGCCAGGGCAAGACTCACTTCTCCCCGGAGTTCTTGTTTCACCCCCTGTGGCCCCTAGAAACAAGCCACCTATGTCATCGGGTGGTCAAGCGAAGACACTGCCCCGTTCCAATGCTGGCGTCAGAGCGGGCTGTGCTGGACGTGGTGGGTAGGGCCAGGCACCAGCGAGGCACCCAGGGAGCCACAGTTAGGAGGTGCTCCCTCTCTGGTGCCCTACATGCGCACGAACTCAGGGTCCCCTTAAATCTCCACCCTGGGCCTCACCCTAGTGCGGTCCTGGCTGAGAAGGAAGAAGTCCACCAAGTCACGTGTCCTGAATCTATTACCCAACTGAGGAACAGTGACCATGCATTTCCCAGACTCCGGCAGCGTCAGCACCGTTCACAGGGTAAGGTTCAGCACCCCCACAAGCTTAGTGAAGTCAGCTACCAGCCTGATGAAGCAGGACCTGGGCTGGAGCTGAGGACAGAACTCCCTTCTCGCCCCGTCCACACCCCTCACCCATCAGCATCCTCACACCAGGTGCCACTCACCTAATGCAAACTGGTCACCACTCCGAGTGCTTTGGGTACAATGATTTGCTCATGTAGTCCTCATGGAAACCAAGGCACAAGTATATAAGCCCAGGGTCACAAAGCTAGGGGGCCACGGAGCCTAGATCTCAACCCCAGCAGTATGAGACCTTGCTCTATACCAGGGAGGAGCCAATCTCCTTAAAAAGTGAATATTTTCGGCCCCGGCCGGTTTGGCTCAGCGGTTAGAGCGTCCGTCTGCGGTCAGGAGAGACCCGGGTTCGGTTCCGCTAAGGGCATGTACTTCGGTTGCAGTTTGTCCCCGGCCCTGGTTGGTCGTGCGGGTGGCAGCCTCTCGATGTGTCCCTTTCACATCGATGTTTCCCTCTCTCTCTCTCTCTCTCTCTCTCTCTCTCTCTTCCTCTCCCTCCCTCCCACTCTATCTGTACAAAAAATGGAAAAATGTCCTCGGGTGAGGATAAAGAAAAAAAAAAAAAAAGTGAATATTTTCGGCTTCACCAGCCATACGGTGTCTGTCACAACACCTGACTGCTCCACTGCAGCCTGAGAGCAGCCATGGAAAATGCCTAACAAGTGGGCATGACTATGTCTCAGAAACACTTGATTTGCAAAAACAGGCTATAGCCAGATTTGGCTCAAGAGCAGGCGTTGCTGACCAAGCCCAGGTCTAAACCACCAGGCTATACGAAGCCCTTCCTTATCCACAGGGGGCCAGTTCCCCGGTCCTGCGATGCCGGAAACTGGGGAGCACTGAACCCAGTATATACTATGTTTTTCTATGCACACATAACTATGATAAAGTTTAATTTATGAATTAGGCACAGCAAGAGTTTAACAACAATAACTAATAATAAAAGAGAACAGCTTTTAAAGTATACTGTAATAAACGTGCGAGAATCACTGAGTGAAATAAGGGTCACTTGAACAGAGCACCACGGTACCGCGATAGGATGTGATCCCCGAGGGCTGCGGAGTGACGCGGAGGCAGCTCGCACGCAGCGCCGAGGTATCGTACACAGCCAGACAAAAGAACGATCGCATCCGGAGTGCGATGGAGCCAGGCAGCGTGAGCTTTCACCATGCTACTCAGAACAGCGCACGATTTCAAAGTGTAAGTTTATTTCTGGAATCTTACATTTAACATTCTCGGACCCCAGCTGACCGCGCAGGCATGTGAAAAATAAATGTGCCCAGCCTGTGGTACTACAGTGGCCTTTGGGGAAGAACAGAAGGAAATTAAAGAACTCCCTGAGACATCTAACACTCAGAAAAGGGAACAGGGACTGAGCTGTGGCTCATTCAGTGAAAAGACCTTAGCAAGAGTATCAGGGCCTGAAAACGGCGGGTGAGGGGCCACCCTGTCAGAACGGGGAGGGGAGAGGCGCAGAAGGAAGTCGCCAGGACGGTCTCCTCCTACGGAGGATTCTGGCACTTGGCAGTGCGCCCTGCTGCTTCTGGAACCAACCGCGTGTCCCACTCTGCCGTCCTCACAACCATCAGCCTGGCGGCCTTGGGCTCAGGCTCCAAGTGTGGCTCGCTGCCTCCCAGGCTTTGCAAACGTACTCTCAGAGCATTTCTTAGCATCGGCAGCGGGGCACGTGGAGGGTAGGCACTACCTGGGGTGTATAAACCTGGGGCTTCCAGGCCCGGAGGCTCCTGCAGACTTTCCTGCCTCGAGCCAGGATAAAGCAGTAAAAGCCTTGAATTTCATCCCAGAGATGGATTTTCCATGACACCTTCAAAGAGAATGTGCTCTCCCCCGTTCCCAAGAACTCCTCAATTGTCCAAATGCTGAAACCATGCGAGAGAGGAGGAAGAAGGGGAGGCAGGGTATGAGGGAAGCCTATGGCGCACGGGGCACAGGCCGGGGCACAGCCAGGCCCCTTCCTGTGTTGCTGTTCCTTTACCTAGAAGGGGGGCGGGGCTTGAACTGAGGCCTCGCTACACCACATGCCATCCATGGGCCAGCACTGGTTCCACTGGGAATTTGTGAGAAATTTAGAATTTTAAGCCCATCTCAGAGCTGGGAACCAGAATCTGCATTTTAACAAAACCCCAGGTAATTTACGCACACATTAAAGTTTAAGTAGCTGAGATCAGGGGTGGGTGGAGCATATGATGCAGGCTTGGCCAATCTGAGCATTAGATCCTGCTGGCCCACAGTTACTGGGTGATTGATTGGTTTAGGGAAGCCAAAGACATGCAATAGCAGGTGTCAAAATGTAAGTCGGGTGCTGCTGGTGGCCATCTTGGTGCCACACGGGGCAACATGGGAAAAAGCAGAGCTGAAAGATGGAGAAGAGCCCTGCTACATTGTCTGAGCACCTGGATCCAGCCATGCCTGAATCAGCTCTCCCACTGGCAAGTAAGAGAGTTGGAATCAATGCAGCTCTACTGGTCTGATACGAATTATAAATATGACAAAGAGCTCCAGCATTCAAAGAGGAGCACCCACGTGCCCTTCTCTCTTCTGCAACTTTCCCATTCTCCCTTTCCCCAGAAGTATCCCTCTCCCTCCCCGAGGGCTCCGCACAACTGCTTGCCCCCAAGATGTCAGGAGAAAGGTTCGCAGTAGGCATTAAGGAACTTAATCAGCAAGTCCTTACTGAGTACTGACTGCATACATGTCAAGATATAAAAAATGTAAAAACCAATGCCCTGACCCGTCAAAGAATTCGCACAGCACCCATAATAGAAGGAGGTGTATATGACAAAACTAATATGATCCAGAAAGTTTCTAGATGCTGAGTGGGTACCAGAGAGGGGAATAAATAGTCCCTCCATCTGGCTGGTCCTCCTGCCTCAGCCCCAGAGAGGCGCCTCTGCCACTACTGGGAGAAGATGGAGAGCAGCCCTGCCCACACGATGATGCCCACCTCCCCATAAAGAGTGCCAGGCTGGCAGGTTCCAACCCAGCCCCAGGCATGCCAGCTCCCTGCCTCCCTCCTGCACGCCCTTGCAAAGATGATGCCCAAGCTCCTGGCTGGCTCCCTGCCTGGCAT